TTCGCACCATGCATGTCCGAATGACGTCTCCGATGCAGCGGGAAAATAGGCTGTCCACCCCCCTTTCACCGCCATCCGCTGTCACCTCCACACCAATCTGTCAAGTCAATGCGCGTGCGACGAGGGTAAAAACGAGCAAACACAGATGAAAACATGTATTTGGAAGAAATAGGTAAGTGGGAGCGATGGGACAGAGAGAGAGAGAGAGAGAGAGAGAGAGAGAGAGAGAGAGAGATGTGCATGTACAACGTTATATATTCAAGACTTGTTCGTACCATCCATGCCCGAACGACGTCCCCGATGCAGCGGGAGAAGGCCACGACGATTCGAAGCAACGCCAGGATCGCACACGCGAACAGGAGCGTTGAAAGCAAAGAAGAGGCGGTGTCTCCGGCCCCGCGAACACCCCCGCCCGCGGCATAGTCGATGGCGCCGTCGAGCAGCCCAACCGTGAACGTTCGGGTTTCCCACTCCTCGGCGGCGACACCTTCCTCCTCTACGCCAAGCTTGGAGATTCGGGGCCCCCATTGCTCGACGGCGACACCTTCCTGCTCGCACTTCTCGACGGCGACACCTGCCTCCTCTACGTCATCGGTCACCTATTGAAGAGTTGTTTGAAAAAAACGAAGACAATGTGAGGGAAAATGCCCGGGCTGGCTATCTTCCCTAAAACAAAGTTGTACACGAATACACAACACTCTCTTCATTTCATTTCGAGGAGACAGGACTCACCGGAAGCAGTTCCTCGAGTGATGCGAGAGCCTCGAAGTGCGCGTGTCCGTCGAAAAAGATAGGGGCCTCCGCGTTGTGCACCAGGTCGTTGAACGAAAGAATCTCGTCCTTGATGTCGGAGCTGTGCTCATCGAAGACGTCGCGGCCGTGCGAGTTGCTGACGGTGGCGTCGCGAATGCACTGCAGGGCATCCTTGACATCACCCGCGAGCTCGCCATTGGTGGCTTCGATGATGGCAGGAATCGGCACTCCGTCACGGACCATCGATCGTTGGAGCAAGGAGATGGGGCCGCAGCTGTTGCTAGAGCCACTGTTGGACATGGCCACAAACATCTTGCCATCCAGAGTGTAATATACACGTTGCACTCTCTTCGCCGCCGCCGCCGCCGCCGCCGCCGCCGCTGCTGCCGCTGTTGCTGCTGCTGCTGCTGCTGCCCCCGCCGGTGTCTGCGCCCGCGCTCGTGTACGGGAACGCCTCTTCGCCTTCGCCCTCTCTTTCCTCTGCCTGTTCCTCGTCTTCGCTGCCATGCTTCACCTGACACATGGACGTAACAAAAGAGGAGGGGTTCAGATTACGACGACAGATCTGCAACAGATCAATCTTGCTTTGGAACCATCCTATCTTCAGGCATAGGAGAAACAGAAAGCGATCAAGTGTCGTGGTCTATCGCGCGCCAAATAAAGATTCTGGAGGGGGTTCCGTGGGTGCAAGATTCGGGCCGGGGTCCCGTGGATGGAAATTTCACAGTGGGGCGGTAGGTGGAGTACAAGTGTGGGTGGGGGTGTCCTATGTCATACTCCGTATATGATTGTGCGTGGGAACGGAGATAACACACAACAACCCTCTTGCACAAAATAAGTCGCGCGACTTATCGATAAGTCGCGCGACTTCAAAATGACGTATTGGCCCGAAAATGCCACCCAGAGGTCAGAAATTTAAAATCTTTATGCAGTAGATGTTGGCAAGGGGTTTTACTTGAGTTTAGTGTAGGAATCGGGCATTTTCATTTATCTTGTAGGTAATGCCGGGACTGTGAGAGGGAATCGTCCAAATCGATTTATACCATCTGTACGATGATCCTGTACCGTTTGCGCCGTGGTTCGTGGTCGCGCTGGTCGAAGAAAAAGAAGAGGGGGATCAGAGGCAGAGAGTCTGTTTTGTCATTGCGATGACTTTGGTACACAACAGCTTACATCTGTCGGTAGACACCAGTACATTTGCTGTCTTGCATCCCGTCTGGAGTACATATTATATTTCAAGTTCACCTTCTTCTCGGGAGACGGTGCCATTGCTGTCTAAAACGTCGACGTCCGTCTCCTCATATTCGCTTTCGGTAACCGAATCCGAGACGCCAGGATCCGTCTTCGAGTCTTCGCCGACGGTAACCGGATCTGCGAACAGCGATGAATTTTTTTAGGAAACGTCACATGGTACACGACCGGCCCTCTTGTGTGTGCTGAACAGCAGCGCCTGCGTCAAAGCAAGCACCGATCTGGATGACGCCAGAGCCACCCGAACTGTATTCTTTGTGCGGGCGTCATCTCAAATACAAGATACGGGCGTGCTTCAGGGACCCGGGACGGGCGACTTACATTATATGTTCGTGTAGTGGATTATGCCATCCTTACGAAGGCTACTGTGGTAGTACTCATGTGTGGTTTTGAGCTATGTAAGTGCGCAAGTGCTTGGCCGTCCATCGGTCATTTGGATCTTCGGGGTATCTCCGGCAGTAGAATCTTTGGCCACGCGTCACGCGTCCCGTGCTGTCTGTGTTCCCGAGTTCCGAATGTGTCTTGCGACTGTTGCTCGCGTGCCTCGGCGTTTGTGATACACCGTGGTGCCCACTCTCTTCCGTTGCTTGTGTCTACGAGGGCGACCAATAGTAAACGACTTAACCATCTCTTCACATTATCAACCGGGACAGCCGTGGTTATCCAGCAGCACTCGGCTCGGATCAAATCAGCATTATAAAGCTACCGAGCCCTCACCTTCCAGTAGTTGAGGATCTTCATCATTTGACGCGTTGGCCGCCATGGATCTTGATGGAATGCGGTGGTCTGGAGAAACGAGGAGTCAGTGTAAGGTGCAAGGTGGTGAAAGCGTCGAGATGAGTTACCAGTTAGAGGATCTTCGTCGTTTGACACGTTGGCCCATGTAGATCATTGTTGTAAACTTAAGCATGTTGGAAACTTAAATGTTTTCTATGATAACATACAAAAATGGCTCGCCCGATGTCACCCGAAATATACGATGCATTCAGAAAATGCGACCAACAATGGATACAGAGACGGAGAAAAATGGATACATCTTCGCTGTTCTTCACGCTCACGAGGTGCTGTGTTCAAGGTAGAGGTGTTAGCCATGTCCTTAAAATGGAAGACGAGGCTTACTCGTCGCAGGCAGTACACTCGGCCAGGAAAAAGCTTCCGATCGGGGCCTTTAAAGAGGTGAATCGGTTCTTACACCGAGGACCACACGAGCCACGAGTATTCGCCGTAGATGGATCGAAGGTGCACGTGCACCCCTCTTTCATCAATTCTGGTTACAAGACACGAACAAACGACCAACCAGTATCGCGTCCTGCCAAAAGACCTCTCGTCATGCTCTCTTCGATGGTAGATGTCAAAACCAAAGCGTGTATCGACTTTGAGCTCACGAAGCATTTCAATGAAAGAAGAGCAGCGACTTCGATGCTCCGAAGTGTACGGAAAGGTGACACGCTGTTGTTCGATAGAGGATACTATTCCAAAGACTTACTTCGCAGTGTTCACGACTCTCATGCATTTGGCGTTTGGCGGCTCAAGATAGACGCTTTCAAAGGCACCAGGTCTTTCTTTAACTCGTGTCGCACGGAGGCCGCGTGCCTTATTCTCGGTATCGAGGCGCGTCTTTTGAAATATTTTATCGACGGTAAAACATACGTTTGCCTCACGAACGACCCGTCGCTATCTCGAAGGGATATCAAGACTATGTACGCCTCGAGGTGGCGGGTCGAAGAGTCGTTCAAACGATTAAAATCAAATCTCAAGCTCGAAAAAGCTCACGCAAAAACACCGGCTTTGTACATCCAGGAGGTGGAGGCCAGAGTGTTGTTAGACACGATCACTCTGAGAATGCAAAGCAGTACGAAGGAGTCGTCATATCTCTATACTCTCGACACGCATGTCACACACATCCTTCGTAACGTGAAAAGAGTCTCTAGTCCCACGAGATACAAGTTTCTACGAGTAGCAGAGCTAGAGTCAAAAACGCCGTTCGGTCGGATGCACTACAGACCATCGGGTGAGAAACGTCTTACCAATCATGTCCTCGGACGTTACATGCGGTGGAATACCGAAAGCGAAAGTTTACTCAAAAGTTTTTGACTGTGAAACCTCGCATCCCGTCTCACAATTCATCATCATCTCCATCATCCTCTTCATCATGGTGAGACCATCTTCGGATGGAAACTCGCACAAGAAGAAGAAACACAAGAAGATACCTCCGAGGGCACCTCCAAAGAACATCCCGGGCTTTCTGCAGACGGTGAGGGGCCTGTACCCGAATCAATACCTCACGGCCTCAGGAAATCTACCCAAAAGTTGCAAGGGTACTTACTGCTGCCAGCTCTTCTCGAGAGTCAGGTTCGGGGAGAAAGTGTCTCAAAAGGAGCGGATAAGAACCGTGAGCGTCGGATTTCGGGCGGCAACGACCGATGAGGAACGCGACACATTTCAGTCCAAGGTCAATGATGCGGTCGATCATCTCTCCCGTGAACGAGTTCTGGCGTCTCTCTTCGCAAACTTTGTGTTTATGGAACGTCTTCAAAACGGGTCAGCCCTTCCGGAGCCCGACAGGGCTTTTTTCAAGTCGTGCTTGTCATCATGCATCGAAAGCAGAGGAGGGGGGAATCTCAACGCCGACTTCGACCGTTTTTCCGAGATAACGGGTTTGACACGACTCGTGCCTCCCAAAAAACTGGGCCTTGACCAACAGCGAGAGCACGAGGCACAACGCATGGCAACGGCAACGTCGACGCGTGCAACACACCACACGGAAAAGAGGAGGATTTCGATCACGATGTGCTTTCTGCGAGGGCGGATATCTCAAGGAGACCTTGATTACAAGAAGTACAAGACGAAGCTCTACAACCTGGCGGAGAAGATCATCACAAACTTCGACGGCACACCCGAAGACACACAAAAGCTTCGAAGAACGTCACGAGCGTTAGACCCTTGACAGACACCGACATCATTATCGACTTCGCACGGAGGGAGAAGGACTTCTCTGATCGAGACTGTGGAGACGGCAAAATCGCAAAAACGATCAAACACCTGTACTGGATGTTCAACACCTACGTCGCCGAGTCAAGAAGAATGTACGAGGAGGCCGTGTCCCGAGCCCACTTGTTCGCTCCCGGTGAAGACAAGGCGTGCAGAAAGAAGAGGGACGAGTTCGTGAAGCACGAGCTGGGCGAGAAGTTCACCTACGCTCCACCCAAAGACACTGCCGTGCTACCCATTTGCTCAACGGGGGCAGTGTTCATCCACATCGACATGAAGACGCTCAAGTCATGGGGGCTTCTGCACTCCAACGATGCTTGGTGGTACAAGGACGTCCTCCGACCTTTTTCCAAAGAGGCAAATATCAAGTGTCTCGTGAACAAGGAGAACGCCAGGTACGCGTCAAGCGAGCATGGCTACCTCTCGAGTCTGCTAGGAAGTGGTCCGGACAAGTGCCCCTGGATGATTGGCGAGAGTTTCTTGACGGACGGTGTACAGATCAAGCTTCTGCTTGTGACACTAGACCACGGAAGGAAAGCTTTTTCCGGGTCCAGCGAGCTGAACGAGGCGGGGTACAACAAACTGCCCCGGGCTAACGCTCAGCTAGAAAGCCTCTTGAAAGAGGGAAGAGGGGTGTACAACATATCCAGCCTTTTGGAGTCGACAAGCATCAGGGAAGACGTCGTCGTGATGTCCGCGGACCCGGGCCAGGCCAAGGTGATCAACGTTTCTTCGGCTACGGCTAGCACTTGGGCGAAGCAAGACCCTGGCGTCATCCTCAAAACTTCGACGTGTGTGTTCGGGGACGATTATCGTCGTGACACTCTTGCATCACGTTCAGACGAGTACGAGACGTTCAGGCGCAAGGACCAGCCGTACGGAGTAGCCATCGATCGTCTTAGCAACGAGAAGAAAAGAACTTCCTGCCTCGCAACGTTCATCCAGTACTGCAAAAGTTGGTGTGCAAATGGTCCGGCGTTATTCCTAGAGACTTTGCAGACAGGAAGGAAGTTCATGAGGTTTGATCGTTTCAGAGCTACGCAGAAGACACTTGCCAAGATAGCGGACAGGTACATGGGACACGTAGAAGACACTTGCAGGATCATGTTGTTCGGTAAAGCGTCTTTTCGTGCGCAGAAAGGGAGGGCATCTGCCCCAAGGAAAGCTTTGATTAGAGAGATGGCCAGCAGAGGCGTGGTGTTGATGGTGAAGGAGTACAATACTTCCAAGAAGTGCCCGGGGTGTGGAGAGGACACGGTCGAGGACAAAGAACGGAGAATCCGGAGTTGCAAAAACTTTAAGATCGGATCACCGGAAGAGTCCTGTAGACTTCACCGCCTGACACCAGAGTTTGAAATGGATCGCGACAACGTAGGGTCGACTAACATCGGTATGCGTGGTTTCGGCCAATTGCTCGGTCAGGTGTGGTTTTAAGGATTTTTTCCGGATTTTCACTTGCGGATGATACTTTATAGTTGGTTTTTCTAAAGTTGACAATAGTGATGTAGATCAACGGTGGTGGCCAGAAGAGGGGTATTGTAGTGTCACAAGCGTCGAGATGAGTAGCGCAGAACACGAGGTCGGTGCGTTGATGCCCATGGTTCATTGCTGCGCAATTAAACATCTGCACAAGCACTTACCACTCGCGTCGACGCGCTGAAGCTGGTGCTAGTTGCGGTCTCTTGGGTAGGAGGAGAGGGGGAGGAATGGAGTGGTGTGGTGGTCGAAAGTGTGTGTGGGGAGGCGGGGGTGGATCATCGGAGTTGCTTCATATCTGCACTGTGGCCAACAGCCAATCAGCGCATATCGGAAAAAGCAAATAACGCATTAGACTAACCGACATTTATGTTCTTGATTCGTGAACAATGTCCCGTTGCCTGCACAACCACATCGGAAAAAGCAATCAGTCGACAATGTTTGCATCAGCCGATGCAAAGGAGCAACGCATACTCAGCACTTGATTTCACAGATGAACTGATTTTTCGCACGACGAACGACCGCTGACGCACCGTGAGCCGCTACAGCGCAGCTGTGGATCCTGCACCCGACAGCAGAAAGCAGTCCCCGCATGTACGTATATATATGTATACCAACCTTTTCAACACTCCCCTTGTTTTTGTGCTGTTTTCGATGCTATTCCGTGTAGACGTGCGTGCTTTTCAAGTAGTCTTGCACAGTTCGAGCACGGTTGGCGGTGTCGCAAAAACAGTTATTCAGGAGGGTTTACCTTGTCAGTAACGCAACCAACCGCATGATGTATGCCATTACGTCGACAGCCAATGCTAATGGCCATGAACCAAACGGGTACACGTCTTGGAAAATGTACAAGGAGACATCTGACGTACAGGCTGTCGTGAATTAATTTGAGTTGGTGCCCGTGGTCGAAACAAATATTCACAAAAAAAACGACAGCTGCGCAAGCGTGTCAACTGCTTGTGAGGAAAATCTGGGCATACCCACGCCGAAGTCTACTTTCTCTCGTACCTAACTCATCGCCGAATGCATGCATACTCACGAAACTTCGCAGGCGCATGCACACGACCCGTACAGCAGTATTGAAAAAAAAATTAGGTCAATCCGATGATTTGGCGACATTTTATTGCCCTTATTTCCAAAATATCCGAAGTGGCAATCGAACTCGGGTCGGGCATTTCTTTGCCGCGCAGAACAGCATCACACGCCGCCAGCGGCGCTCACAGCACGCACCGTGGTCATACGAACCGAACGCAAAAAACCCGAGGTCAATCGGAGCACGTGGTGTCGAGAAAATGCCCAAAAAGCTCTCTGGCTGAAAATGCCTCCATATTGTTTTCGACAGTCCCGCCACCTGACAGTCCCGTGACCGTCGCGTGCCTGCGTCTGTGTCACACGCTCGTTCTGCCTCACACGACAACGGAAGCGAGCGGCGCAGCAGCGGGATCGGTTACCAGGGTGCCCGGGGGACTCTGTGCGACAGGAAGGTGTGTTTGCGGGTGTCTGCGCGTGTAGACGTGTGCACAGGTAGACGTGTGCGCGCGAGATGTGTGTGCTGCGCACCAGCTGCCGCGCCGCGCGCATTCTGGGTTTTTGGTCACGCTCGTATGTGTCACACAACTCGCCCGCGCGCTGCGTGAACGCTGGCAAATCGTCCCCGTAGGTGTCCCGGTGCCTTCCCGTGCAGGAAGTTTTATTTTAGACGCGCCTATCGTGCTTGCTGTTTTCTCCCCCCTGCGTGCGCACGTGACGTATTGTACGTCGAATAACACGGGGGTGTAAAATTACACCCCACCCTCCCCTCCCCAAAAAAAACAAATTATGTGGGTTTCACGCGTACCCACTGATCAAATAATACGGATTGGTGGGTGTGGGGGTGTTCTGTCTGTGTGTCGGCAGTAAATCACTTGAAATTAGAGACCCCCCTGGCGCGCGTACCACGTTTAGGCCCGTATCTCGGCCCCAATTATGGGTTGACCATAAAAAAAATATACAGCAGTGCGCCTGACCTGGCGGAACAACACACCAAATTACAAGTTAATCCTCGAAGATCCTGAATTTTAAAGCTCGAAACAAGCTGTACAGCAGTGTTCACGGGTAAAGTGTACGCATAACTCTGCACCATTTCTAGTGTTCGGCCTTGAAATTTTGCACGATGGTGCCCCTGACTCGTGCGCCTGTGCACAAAAAATCAGAAATGAAATCGGAGCATGTGGAGGCGCTGGCGGCCGATTTCAGTGCTGTACAGCAGCAGATAACACCTTACGCTGCCACAGTCGCCCCTGTTTTTCTTTTTTCGCCTTGATATTTTGGCACGCTTGCCATCTGTTCACAGGACCACCGTTGTGTGTGTTTATGGTGGAAGATATGTACAGCTGCGCAAGCGTGTCAACCGTTTTTATAAGGGACATAATTATTATTAATTTGCAAATCACACTCACGTGTCCATCTACGAACTTCTGTTATTCATTTTCACACACATCACACACACGCCGTCTTTCTGAACTTGGTAAAGCTTGTCTCGCCTTCATCTTTAAAAAACGTATTCTCGGACCTAAACCACTTCTCGCCGTCCCGGAGCTGACCAACTTTGCGCTTTTTCACCAAATCACGAAACATGAGTTTTCCATCCCCCCCGTACTTGTGTAGAGACGTGCGAATGTCATCTATGAACACCATCCTCGCTGCGTTAAGTCTCTTGCCGTATGGATGGTTAACCTTCTCCGACGCTCCCCCCGTGCAAGCCGAGTCAACTACGCCACCTAGCACGACGTTGCCTATTGTGTGGGCAGCTGTGTTTGCAGAGGCAGCTGCATAGCTACTCCTTAACGTGGCACTCGACACCTGGAGATAGGAGCTAAAGTCGTCGATATTACTGCTATTGACTTGGCCCGAATTCAGGGCGTGTGTGGCCCAAAACGTACGGCACACATGGGGAGAGAAGTTTTCAATTCCTAGCCAGTACGCCCCAATCTTTTTGAAACGCGACCGAGTGTCGTTTGGGGTCCACCCTTCCCCCTTCGAATTGACAAACAGCCTCCTGTTGCCGTCGCGCATGTCTACGTCGCAGAAGCGGTGGCCCACACAGGCTACAAAATGTATCATCATGCTTTGGTCTGCTGACATTTCAAAGTGACTAACGGGAAGAGCCCCACTCGACGCTGAGGCGGTAGCCGTCTTCCAAGTTCGGTCCTTGAAAGTGTGCCTGAAGTGGGTGCCGTCCGGAACAAGAGCGAACTCGTTCATCGTTGCCTCCCGCATGACCTGGGACCTCTGAAAACAGTTGCTTAGCGCGAGTAAGACGCAGAGATTGGCTACGTCGGAGTATAGCACACCCTTATTCTTAGCGTGCTCGTACAGGAGCTCGGCCTCCTGATTGGAAATTTTAAGAAACGCGGAGGGGTGTTCCATGCTAACCCCGAGTTCCTCACCGATCAGGCTCTTCAGGGGGTGCCAAACGCCGAAACAGACGCCTTTGAGCATGTCGTACATCATCTCCACCGCCTTGGGGTCCGTGGGATCCAACATACGCCCGCCATCCACCTTCTTGTTGAGGCCGGCGGGGTCCAGGTTGGTGCTGACGGTGTTTGCCATTTTGAGCCTTTTCCTCGTTTTCCAAAGCTGGCTGTCGAAGTGCGCCATGATCTCCGTCAGTTTCGCCGACACTAGCGTCGAAGAGCGTTGGGCCGCCCTGCGGTGTGTTGCAAGCAGCCTTCGCCGCGACGCCTGCTCTCTCTCCATACGTCAAATGTATGGAACCCAACACGGAGCCGTCCATGCGGCCGACAGAGTCCACGGGTCGCTGTCGGATTATGTCCAGACTCCCAACCACAGGTCCGCACTCGATCCCATACTTTGTTTTTTCGGTGTACGCCCGAAACAGTGTAGCTATCCTCTCGGCGTCACCCGGGGCCGAGCGGGTTGCCTTAAAAAGACCGTACGCGTCTCCTACGTGGAACCCCTCAATGTACTTGTCTTGGCACGCCCGCTCCAACATTATGTAGGCTATGTTTCTGTGCGGTACGTTTATCGCACGAAACACGCCCCTCCAGTCTGTCTCCCAGCCGCGGATAGCGCCGTCCAAGTGGCAGGGGGGGCAAAGCCACCTCTCCTCGAGCACGCGACGCTCCATCACGTTCAGGGGCAAGACGACCGATTCGAAAGCTGTGGGGCGCCCGATGATGACGGTCGCGAACCACATAAGCCCGATTGCAGAAGAACATGACGCATACACACTCGAAGAGCTGGTCTCCCCTCGCTTCCCAGATATTGTGGCAAAATCTCGCTGCAGGAAGAACCGCTGCCTCGAATCGTCGTCGTCGAAATCCATGTTCATGAACTGTAGTATACTCTTCGATTTGTCCACAGAGTACGGGAGCCCGTGAAACACCGAACTAGCCGAGCCGACCCGTTGGAGTCTTGTGAGGGCTTCTCGGCGCTGCTCTAGTTGCGTCCTGCCCTCGGGCGTCGCGCGGTCGATGTCTCTGTAGTGGTGGCTCGCCTTGTTCAGTTTGATTCGATTTTCGAGTAGGCTCGGGAAGAGCTGGGCGTAGACGTGAAAACCGATCAGGGTCAGGTTGTCTCTCAGAGACTCTTGCCACGCGAGCTTCTCGGTTTGAGGTAACCGATCGTATGAAGTGCCACTAAAATTTCTGGCGCCGTAGAACTGCCGCACCTGGCCGTCGGTGGGTTCAAGAAATATTTTTCTGGGTGAGACGGGACACTTGAAGCTGCTGGTGGTCTCCTTGGTCGCGCGCTTGACCTCGTTTGCGTTGAAATTCGGTTTTTTCAGGGTGGTGATTTGTTTCTTCACCTTCGAGATACTTGAAACTTTAATGCGCTTGGGTGCGGTAGAAACAGGAGCCATGGTTGAGGTCGGGGGAGTGAGCTTGGATGGGGCATGAAGCCACACAAAAGTTGTTCGTTCAGAATGCAGGGGGGCCACGCGTACGAGACCGATTTTGCACGAGGGGTGTAGGGGTTGTTCAAGGTGTGTTCACAGACAGATTTGTTGGTTTTAATTTACTCTCGTGAAGCGCACTACCGACCTCACTTTCCTCGAATCTGCGCCAAACCAAACCATGGCTGAGATGTGGCACGAACACTTCCTGTCGGACATTATCGGTGAAATAACACTTCACGACCGGCGCACCTGTTTGTTGGATGAAGGGCAGTTCATTGATCGCTTGATCCGATACAATGCTGTTGAAGACTACAACATATGCATCGAAAAGCAGGAGATTATTTGGGCGGTGATAGTATACTATGAAGCGTATGATGTCGCTGGTTGGATGGATGCCAAGGGATACACTGCAACAGGGGACAGTTATGAAGACGCTGCGTCGTGTGTCCCCTACGACGCAGCCAGGTGGGACCAGTGGTTGCGATCCCGTTTGATGCTGCCTCCTTCTTCAAGTCTTCCGGAAAATCACGTAGAGAATGTCGCCTGCGGGATGGTCAGTATGGGGTACATTAAAATCCCCCTGAATTCGGGTTATCCGACCTACGTCTGGTTGCTCGATGGACACACGCAGGACGATTTTTGCGAGCCGTACAGTTGCATACAGTTCTTCACTGAGCATTTCCACTCGGGAAACTACACCGAATTGTGGTCTTTTACGCTGATAGAAGAGTGTCTCGAGTTTCATCTAGACGAATGTATGCGGGCTGGTACAGCTATCTACATGGTCCGGGCGTTATCGGAACGTTCTCCTGTGGTCGCGCAACAGTACATTGGAAAGGTTCTCGCTAAGTTGCTGGGGAAAATATATCGAAAGACAGGGCCAGGAAGCAGCTGGCGGCAACTAGGATTCAGTGTGCGTTCCGGGTGTATAGTAGCACGAAGAGAGTGAATGTCCTCCGGTCGCACCCTGACAATCTCTTTTCCGAGTTCAGTGTGTTGAGGAAGAGGAAGCTCGAAATAGACACGGTTTGGGGCCGTAGTGCAGTGAATCGGGTGGTGTTCATACGCATACGCGTGCTTATGTGCTGGGGTGACGTTTGCTGGGCGGCGGTAAACACGCATGCGCGTGCTTATGCGCTGGGGTGACGTTTGCTGGGCGGCGGTAAACATGCTGGTTCGACTGAAATGAAAAAAAAAACACTCCATACATTTTCAAAAAAATGGCGCCGCACTGGGATCCTAGCCAACTGCTCAGGAAAAGGGGCAATGCATCGCCACGAGTACGAGTTTGCTTTCAATATTTGGCCAACGTCACCACTAGACACAGAAGAGTCATATCGGGACATCACGGGTTTTTTTCTCGGCCCCGTCTGGTCACCGGGTCGTTGTTTTTGTGATCGCCCGTAGGGCACAAATGTGTGCGGTGTGAGGAATACATGCCTCGTGTCCGAGTTCAGCCTGGGCACACTGCTGGCACGATGCGCGGGGGTCAGCAGCAACCCGTACACACATCACACATACATACAGAGTACGCACGCACGCACGCACGCACGTGAAAAAAATCGTGTTAATGACCGCGGGGACGCCACAATACGTTGGAGGTGCTGATGAAGGTTATCACCAGCAGCAACACACCNAAAAAAAACGAGGTCAAACGGAGCCCGTAGCGGCGAGGAACCGCCGTTTTGGTATTCCCCCCGCATCTCCGCCGAAACGGCAAATTTGTTTTTCCGGAACTGGAAGTTTGCGCTCTGCACGAATTTTGCCTCTCACATCCCACATCCCACCTCCCTCTTTCTCCCCCTCGACACAGCTCGGACATCGTAATCCACGGCAGCGTAGCGTAACAGGACTTAGCTGAGAGGCATCTGGAGAGCTGTGAGGAAGCGAGGTATGCGGTGTTGTCTCTCTTTCCGCTCTCGGGCACGTTCTCAGTTTGTTTCAACCATGGCAGGCGGTGGGGCGTACCACGTCGCGCATTTGAGAGCTTAGCTGGCGACCGCGCGCTCATGAAACGCCCCCGCGGCGCGCGAGACCGGTCGCTTTCGCCTCCTATGATGTGTATGTGGCTTTGTGCGCGCCTCCTCTTTATGTTTTGAGCGGCGCTGTGATGTTGAGTTGATCGCTTTTGCCTGACTGTATTTTCGTAGTCTGCTACGCAAAATAACACCCCCAAATGTTCGAATTTGGTTTTTTTGGCGCCAAAACACTCCCACTTCATGCAAATACAGACTTAGGTACCCGTACCCACCCCCTACATCCCAAATAATGCATGTGGGTGGTTTGGGGGTGCACGCAGCTTTGGATTTAACCTGAGACCAGCGCTGACAGCAGACTTTCAGCTGTTTACAGCAGTACCCCGGCCCAAAAGTCTAGACATTTGGCTGCACAGCTCCCCGCCACCTTCGAATCTGAGGATGAAACTTTGCACGAGGCTCCCCCTCGCCGATGCGCATTCGAAGAGTTTTTTTTATCGAAATCGGAGCACTTCTCGATTTTTAGAGCCCCCAACAGTGTACTCTCAGCAGCACTATGTACGCGTTTCGCTGCCTCACTACGCCCAACACGTGTGTCTCGCCCCCAAACTCGGTGGGCATGCGTATTGGGGCCACAGCTGTCCATGGCTGCCCCAGTGGTCACCATCTGCGCGCACGTTTGTTGATGCATGTCTACCCACCCCCTTGCCCGCACTGCCAGGCACCGCCCAGCACTGCCGTGTATTACCCGCCATTGCTATCACCACCCCCTCCCTCCCCATTCGCATTTTTTGAGCTAACCTGTCACACTTTCAACATCTAGTCTAGTGCTGGTGCCACGATACAACAGCCTTCATTGCATCCGGCCCCCTGACGACACCACCAGGCACCGCCCCAGCACCGCCGTGTATTACCCGCGATCGCGTATCATGCCCCCCCCCCCCTCTCTTTTCGCATTTTTTAACTCGCCTACGGCAGGTGCCGCACGAGACGCAAACGAGAGAGGCGAGGAGTTCCTGAATCGTGTTTCATGCAGCTTTTGCAGGGGCGTTGAATCGGAACGTGTATCGGCAACTTTTTCGTAGTTGATACGCCCCGTAGTTTTTCTTGTGCAGTCCAATAGGAAGGTTAGAGGGGGTGTTGAATCGGACAGTGTATCGGACAGGTTTTGGTGCCGATACATCCTATAGGGATCGAATCGGCAACGAATCGGCGCATAGTGTTTTCAAGACATTGTATCTGATTCGAGTCCGATTCGGGAGGTCGCAATTCCGTTTATACAGCAGGTATCTCTACCAGATCTACGAAATGGAGGAAGCTGGCGGGTCTCATTCTACGCAGGCGTGCATGGCACATGCGGGGA